TTTCATTATGGCAACTCAAAATGCCTAAAATGGCAGGATACTTCACCAGTATGTGAGGGTTTTGCCTAAACTTCTTGTACTATGTTTGTATCACATTCAATAAACAACTTTAAAAGTTTGTATGTAAAGTTGATAATTTTAAAACAAGTATTCATACACACGAGTTTATAGTTAATATTTCAATCATTCATAGAAGATAAACTTAAAATATGTATGTATGTATTACAAATTTAGGGAAGGGACTTCTATTATTACCAATGTCCTATGCTGCATGTAAAAGAATATTCTCCCAAATAAATTTAATTAAAACAAAAACAAGAAACAAACATGTAGCGTCTATCTTGCACGTTGAACAAGGCGTTGTTGAGCATTACGATTGCTTTGCATTCAAACCAACGAAAGATATATTAAATCGAATGAATAAATTCATGTATAAAGATAAAAAAAATAAGAATATGAAGATAACTTCTATGTTTAATTTTAATTTAAGAAAAATTTAGTATTTAAATGTGTATTTCCACTTTTCTTAGTTTAATACCATGGTGAATAAAGCTGGCAGTATTTATTATTTAGCGTAGACAGTGAAAGGATTCTCTGTCTACGCTATTTAGGCATTTTTCGCTACAGACTTTGGCAGGTTTTTAACCAAAGTAAGGCAGGATCAGTATTTGAAAGATGGTGACCATCTTGTTGACCAACTCAGTGTTGGGAAATGTACAATAATTATTGGATTCTTACAATAATTTATTACACGAAACTAAATTGTACCATAAAACATAGCTTTCTCATTATTGCACGCTTTTATACAATATTTTCCTATTTTTACACAATATAACTTCAATCAACAAAGTAGACGGAGGCGTCACGTACTTATACCAAATAATGTAGTTATCGCTTCTAAAAGCGCAAAACGTCTTGTATAGGAATGTATATCATTTGAACCCACGAAACAATTAGCAAATCAAATTGTCTCCAATCTCCCGTATGCAACAACTTCTCAGCAGTCAAATCCGTCTACATCTACACGTCGAGATTTTGAACTCGAAGAAGAAGACGACTTCAAATTTTCCATTCCTGTTTAGTTCATATTGTATAATTCCGTGCCCTAAGTTTTATTATTTTAATAAAAAAAACATTTAATAACATATTTTTAGTTTATGCAAATATAAAGAACAGTCTCGCGTCTGGCGTTAAGCGAGTAGCACGCGTTCACACGCATCGCTAAGTGTTGACGTACGCTGCTTGTTATTGCTTACTCACGCGGGTAGGTAGGGCCGCGCGGCCTGCTTACGCGCAAGCTTACTCAGTGGTACTTGCGGGAATACGCAAAATGACGGACGAGAATGAAGAATTTAACATTAACATTATGTATAGCGAAGACGATATTGCAGAATTATAAGTAGAAGAGCGGGATAGTATTGGTAAAAATACGCCTAGGATTATTAAAAGAATTAGAGAAACGGAGGAGAGTGATGACGAGTGGAAGATTGTGAAGGGAAAGGGAAAGATAAAACGACTGCACGAGGATGAGAACTTAAGTACAGAAACAGATATCGAGGTATACACTGCATACAATAAAAAGCTGCCCAAGCAATTTGCTTTGGCACGGTTATTCAAAGAAAATGGAATTACTGATATAATTAGAGTGAAAACTTAAACCCATTTAAAGTAAGGTTGCAATTTTCGAATATGGAAAACGTTCAAAATTTAAGTACCTGTGCGACATTCATTTCTATGGGATGGAGAATTCAAAAGGCAATGGAGGTTAACTACTCTTACGGAATTATAAGAGACGTGGAGTTAGAAATGTCTGAAGAAGAAATTATGAAAAATATATCATGCCCAGATTCTACAGAATTAATATCCGTTAAAAGGCTTAAACGACGAAGTTACACGAAACGAAACAAGAAGGGTGGTGTCCAAGTGAAACCATACGGCTTTGTTTTAAAGGGTCCTCTCTACCTTCATACGTATATATTTTCGATATGAAAATAACTGTTCAGCCATATGTTTATCCCGTTTCACAATGCTCACAATGTTGGAAGTTGGGTCTCATTCGCAAGTTATGTCCATTTAAGAAAACAATATGCCCGAAATGTGGGGGAGAACATGAGAATTATGACACTATAACATTCAAATGTGTCAATTGTTCTGGAAGTCACATGGCTTTAGCTAGGATTTGCCCTGCTTACCACAAAGAAAGAAGGTTGGTCAAAGAAAAAAGGTATGGCCGAGTTTAATTGCACATACAGAAGGGTTTTAACAATCTATATTGCGCCAACACCACATAGACAAATAGACCTAAAATTTATAGAACAAGATAGCATCCAGCAGGAGTGTAATTATAACACACCGAAGAGGGAAGCGGCTAAAGTCCAAAATGTTCCTACTTTTGCAGAAGTGACGGCCAATAGCATATTGCATAACGAAGACAATATTAGCCAATGTGAAAGTAAGACATCGTCGCCCCGCCGGCGCCAAATAAAAAAGGAGAAAAGAAGTACAGAGCGTGACACGTCATTACAAAGTAATTTTATTTATTTATTCAGGATAACAACAGCTTATGAATACTTAAACAATATTACTTAAATTATTGAACACGAAAAAGCCAATTACAGTTATCCCCAAAGTAGATAACCAAACATAACACTGTAAATCTAATACAATACAAAATAAAATCGGTAAGAACTATTACTAAACATTAACAAATTAATGGAAGTATTAATATTACCTTCGTGACGTACATATATATACAAATACAGATGTATATACGTACAAAAGACATACATAATTACACTTACAAACACGCACATATGAATATATAAATGCAAATATATTTAGGTGTTATTGTTATTATAGAAAATAGATAAAAAATTAAAAAGAGACACTAATATATACATACATACATACACGGATACACACACACATATATGTATATATATATATATATATATATGTATAGTACCCGGTTGACCGAGCTTTGCTCGGTATTTTTCGCTCAGTTTTTTTTTAAATCGTGTGTTTTGGAAATTATATTTAGATACAAATTACATACTGATGAAATACGAATAATATTTTTTGATCGTAGCGACATAATAGAAAAAACTGAACCGGTTATTTGAATACAAAATCATGAGTGCAATTAGTTTAATTTAAATTTTCGTGTTTTTAAAAAATACTAAAAAAAGGGCTCGAAAAAAATAAATTTTCTCAAAAAAAGAAAGGAACTTGAAAAAAAAATTTAAAAAAGTCGGTCGGTCGGTCTGGGCTCGAACCATGGTATTACGATTTTGTGACCGCCCAATATACCAATTAAGCTATTTGTAATCACTAATAAACTGTCAAAATTTACCTTCTTATTCTAACGATATTGTATCAGTTTTTCATTGCCTAAAAACACGGACAAAAAGACATTTTCTAAAAATAAATCCTAGCTAGATCGATTTATTGCCCCCCGAAACTCCCTACACACAAAATTTTATGAAAATCGTTGGAGCCGTTTCCGAGATTCCGATTATATATATATCGAATAAAAGCCCCATATCCAGCAGAATACGTCTTTCTTCGAGCATTAACAGACCGTAAAATCTGCAATCGTCTCGATATGAAGAGCCAGAACGTCTTAATTTAAAATTTAAATGGGAAACGAACTTATTTTGAATCCTTTCGATTTTATGAACATATTTAGCATAAAATGGTGACCATATCTGAGAGGCGTACTCTAATATAGATCTTACATATGCGAAATATACTACTTTTAGGCTTTGAAAATTAGAGAAAGGAAGACAAGTTCTAGCTACAAATCCCAAATTACGAAACGCTTTACTGCAAATAGCATCAATATGCTCATTCATTGACATACGGGAGTCAAAATATACGCCAAGATCGCGCTTCACCGTAGTCCTCTCGATTATAACACCATTGAAATTGTATGAAAAAACTATGGGATTATTTTTCCGCGTAAATGAAATACACTGACACTTACCAACATTTACCGTGATTTTATTAGCGACATAGTAATGGTATAATATATTTAAGTCATTTTGAATTAGTTCACAGTCCTTGATAGTGCGTACATGCAGAAATATTTTTTTATCATCAGCATAAAGTAAATGTTTAGAATTTTTTATATATTGACATATATCGTAAATATAGGCGTTGTAAAAGAGAGGACCAAGGTGGGAGCCTTGAGGAACACCAGAGGGAACCGTTACGAAGTCTGACCTATAACCGCCTAGAACCACAGCTTGAGAGCGGTTAGTCAAGTAAGATCTAATCCATCTTAGTAATAGATTTGAACCTAGTACTAGCTATAGTGAGGCAAATAACAACGAATCTTCTTATAAAATATCTTTCAGTGAGCTACTTATGAGGTTAAAGGAAGTAATTTTTTTTAATAATTTTAGTTTGCAAGAGAAAGTTTACAAAGTGATAAAGTTATGTGTTGAGTGGTTAATTTTGGTAACTGTAGACAATATCTCGGAATGGCCAATGTTGAAAACCGTTTTAAACTTATTTAATGGATGAACACCTTAACTATAAAATAGTAAATCTTAATATCTTACAGTGGAATGCTCAAAGTGTTAAGCCTAAACTAATGTCCTTAGAGCCTTTATTAACTATGGAAAAAATACATATCGTAGCCTTAAGCGAAACTTGGTTAAACTCTGAAACTTATATTAAAATCAAAGATTATAATATTTACCGTAATGATAGAGCTGACTCTTATGGGGGTGTTGCTGTTTTAGCGCACAAATCTCTTAAAACGGTTAGGGGGCATTTACAACTAAGTAATGATCATTCATCATTCCGTCTTAAGCGTCGGCGCGAGTCGGTCGTTTAACTAATTACATTGTGCCGTGCGTATGTGTGAGTCTCGTGTAAAGCATCGTTAATGCTATATATAGAGTTTAACGTTAATGCTATATCGACATCACTCGAACGCATCGTTGGAGACTTCGCACAGATTAATTTCATAACAGAGCAGTCAAGTTATAAACATGACAACTGTAAACAGTACATTTACGCAAGAGTGTGAAACTGAACAAGATTTAAGACCCGGAGAAATGAGTGTCAACGAGTCATTTATTGAAAATGAATCACCTCCTTCTTATATAACATTTCGGAAAGGTAGTAGCGTGATTCCTGCAATTTCCGATCTACAACAAGAATTTAAAACTCTTCAAAGAAGTTTACTTAACAGGCTTGATTCCCGGTTCTCAAAACAAGAAACAAAATTTAATACCCTTCTTAATGACTTCGACGAAATTAAAACTACGCTGAAATTTATCAGTGATAAATACGATGATTTAGACAAAAGAACTCATGATGTCAGCAAGCGCGTATCTAGAATAGAACAGCAGCTGAAATCCACACCGGTCTTCGAGGCACGAATCTCTGAATTAGAAACTGAACTGGCTGAATTTGAACAAAAATCTCGAAATTGTAATATTGAGATAAGTAATCTGCCTGAAAAACGAAGCGAGAACTTAATACAAATACTGGAGAATATTGCTAAAGTCATAAAGCAACCAATTTCTACTAAAGACATAGTTACAATTCATCGTGTACCTCATATGAACCCTCAGATTTCACGCCCGAAGAACGTAATTGTAAAATTTTTCAATCAAGCAACGCGTGACAACTTTGTTTCTGCAGCAAGATTATCAAAAGGAATCACAACAGAGCAAATAAATATGCATGGAGGCGTTCAAAATATATATATCAATGAGCACTTAACTATTCAAAGTAAGAATTTGTTTCGTCAAACTCGTGAAGCTGCAAAAAAAGAACGGATATAGATTTGTGTGGATCAAGCGCGGAACTGTACTGGTTCGTGCAAGCGAAACATCTGCTATTTTTGCTATACGAAAGGTACAAGATATATTATCGAAAATTAAACCAAAGGATACCAAATGATAGAATACTTAGAATACTTGTGAACTTACAAAGGATACTTACAAAGGATACTTGTGAAATAGTTATTAGTAATAGGTTTGTGCAAGCGAAACATCTGCTATTTATGCTGTACAAAGGTAACAACATCAATTATCGAAAAGTAAACATAATGATACCACGTAACAAATTTAAAAATAATATGAATAAGGTACGTCCTCTTATAAGATTTATTTGCAAGCTCTTAGTGTTGCATTGCTCTATGTGTTGTTTACGACTGGGACAATTCTTTTACCACATATATTTTTCTGCGGCCACCGTCACAATAACTATTTTGTGTTTACATTTTAATACAATTCTCGATTTACGTTTTCTAACAAACAACATAATACAATTATTACCAACTAAATTACTTTTAAAAAATCTTGTACACGAACAAATTTTTGCGATATATAGTTCCATATGTTTTTTATTTCGAATTTTACACTTTTTCATATTTTATTTTTTTAAATTATTACTAGTAATTCTTAAAACGTATACTATTTATAAAGATGGCTTATAAAATACAGGTATACTATCAGAATTGTAGAGGTTTGAGGACAAAGTTGAGTACTTTATTCAATAATATATTGTTGGAACATTATGATATAATAATTCTCACGGAAACATGGTTGACCTCGAATATTGCAGATAGTGAATTCATTGATTCGCGTTATGTAGTTTATCGATGCGATCGAAATCGAGAGTTATGTGGTAAAACAGACGGTGGAGGTGTATTGATTATTATGGGGCTAAATGGCACTCGATGTATTTTAAAGCCCATTTTTCACTGTGAAGACGAAATTATAAATGTCCCATCTAATATTGATTATGTGATACTTAAGTTTTATTCTAAGCAACACAACGAATATCACGCTGTTGGCGGTGTTTACATACCACCAAATCAACCCTTAACTGCTTACCAATTATTTTTAAACTCTCTCCAAAATGAGCTTATGTGCAACGAAAATACAAAAATATATATTTTCGGGGACTTTAATCTACCCGACATTGAGTGGCTGCAGAATGACGGGAGTACATGTACTCCTAATACACATTACTGCAAAAATCCAATGACTTTGCTCGTTTCAAATTTTTTATCAATTGTAGGTTGCAAACAATTTAATTTAATTAAAAATAATAAGAATCGCATATTAGATCTTTTCATTTCAAATAATGATACAAGTACTTGTAAGTCACCACTAAACTCTTTAGTTCCGATAGACGTCTTTCATCCACCACTTAACGCCGAGCTACTTTTCAACGTAGAATACATACAATTGGCGCGTAAAACTTTACCAAAATACCGATTCTCCGAGGGTAAATATGCAGATATTAATGACGATATTAAACGTGTAGACTGGGCAAGTATTTTAGAGGTGCCGTCCTTAGACACTGCCACCAACCACTTTTATGAAGAGATATATAAAATCATTAGGAAACACGTACCTTTACGCCCAACCAAATCTAAAAAGTTTCCAATATGGTTACTAATACACATATTTAAAAATAAAGAAAAATCATGGATAAAGTGGAAAAAATCTTCTAACCAAGTAGATTATGAGGAATACTCTGTACTTCGAAAAAGATTTAAACAACTTTCCGTGCAGTGATTAAATTCATATTTAAGTAAAATTGAAACAAGTTTGCAGAAAGACATCAAAGTATTTTGGTCTTTTGTAAAAAAATAAAAAAAATGTGGTATTCCCAACGTAATGTCTCACGATGGAAATGAAACCGATAATCCTGAGGACATATGTGAATTTTTTTCTAACTATTTTACTTCAGTTTACGAGAACAGCTCCCTGATGACGTACGACATAGATTCACTTCCTTGCTCATCAAACACTAACTTTATTATCTCAGATATATCATTTTCAAAAAACACAATAGAACAATGTCTAAAAAACTTAGATATAACTAAAAGTTCAGGACCAGATGGTACCCCACCTTTTTTCCTCAAACATACTGCTAGCTCAATAAGCGTACCTCTGTTCTATTTGTATAACCGCAGTTTGCGTGAAGGTTTAGTGCCCACAGTCTGGAAATCTGCGAATATAACCCCAGTGTTTAAAAACGGTTCTAAAACTGACGTGACTAATTATAGACCTATTTCCTTACTTTCTGCCTTATCAAAAGTCCTTGAACGCTTAGTAAATAATTCAATTTATCCGAGTTTACACAACTTACTAATTCCAGAACAACATGGTTTCGTAAAACACCGATCGACCATCAGTAATCTTATTTTATATACAAACTTTCTGTTTGATAATATGGACAATCGAATACAAACTGATACCGGTTACACAGACTTTTGTAAAGCTTTTGATAAAGTGGATCATTCCATCCTTCTTCAAAAACTTGCGTTTAATGGTATACGTGGAAACTTATTGCGGTGGTTCTCTTTATACATTATTAATAGGACCCAATAAGTTGTGGTCAATGGATACTCCTCTAGCGAAAAATTTGTATCCTCAGGTGTACTACAGGGATCTATACTAGGTCCGATGCTCTTCACATTGTATATAAATGATATTCAGTCTTGTTTTATAAATAGTAATTTTTTGTTGTATGCAGATGACCTGAAAGTTTATCGAAGTGTAAAGTCCCTTAATGATTGTGAGAAGCTACAGGAAGATTTTGACCGGTTATCTAACTACTGTCTAATCAATAAACTGCAATTAAGCATCCCTAAATGTAAATCTATTTCTTTCACCAAAAACGTAAAAACCTACAATTACATATATTCCCTTCTTAACAGTCCCTTAGAAAAAGTATCATTAATAAAAGATTTAGGCATCCTTTACGATTCAAATCTAACCTTTAATGCTCATATCAGCCATGTAACAAATAAAGCGTATCAAATGTACGGAATTGTTGCACGAACGTGTAATTTTTTTAAAAGCTCCTCATCTTATTTACTACTTTTCAAATCACTTATCAGACCACAAATTGAATATGCAACGCAAGTATGGAACCCCTATTATAATAAATACGGTGAACTTCTAGAATCATTACAAGCAAAGTTTCTTCGTTTTATAAATTATAAATGTTACCACGCTAAATCATCGTATCGTAACTTGTTAAAAAAGTTTTCAATTCATACTTTAAAAGCAAGAAGAATATACTTTGATCTAATACTATTATTCAAAATAATTCGAAATGATTTAGATTGTAGTGAACTACTTAACAAAATATATATCCGTGTCCCTAGTCGTTCTCAACACGTTAGAGACGTGTATACACATAAATTGTTTGCGCCTAAACTATGTAAAACCAATGCAGGTGAACGCGCCCCATTAAGACGTATTATGAAAGTATATAACATGCATTTTTCAAATATTGATCTATTCACTTCATCACAGTTACAATTTCGCAAGAACGTTCTAAGAAAGTTGGTAGATATTCAATAGTATCTTTAAATATTTTACAGGATAAATTTGTACTGCTAGCAATTTTTTTAATTATTTTTTTTCCTTTTGTCTCATTTTGATTTTTATGTTACTGAGTACTGTCAATTTTATTTTATTTTCCCTTTTTCACTCATACTCTGTTTATTGTGCATTTATTATTTACTGTTACCAATTTAATATTACTTTGTGGATAACGGTGCTGGTTACATAATGACTAATATTATTTATAAAATGTTATTTGGTTTAAGCATTATTATGTAATTGTTTGTTGTCCTGAATAAATTAAATAAATAAATGATGGCATAGAAGCTATTTATATAAAAAAAAATTAACTGTCAGGATTTAGAGAATATCGTTTCTATCTATTGTCCATCGTCAGTGCGCACTTGCCAAAGAAATTGGGATGAATTATTTTCTACATTTAGTTGTAAAACCGTAATCATTGGGGACTTCAACGCTCACCACTCAAGCTGGTCGTACAAGACTGATAACAGGGGTTCACAAATATTTGACGTACTTTTAGATACTAACTTTGCTATATTAAATAATGGAGAAAGCACTCGAATTAGATTCGTGAATAGAGTCTTACAAGCGTCATCTCCCGATCTATCACTTATGACGTCGGATATATCGTCCATAAATTTAATTGGAGGGTACTTCGAGAAACTTTAGGTAGTGATCATCTTATGATTAAAATATCAGGTTTATGTCAAAAGCGGTTAGAGTGTGATCTTAAAAGGAATTTTAAAAAAGCAAACTGGGACGGTTATAAGAGTACTTTTGAAACACTTTTTGATGAGTTCCCAATACACATAACCGACCTTCAAAAATGTTACAATACATTTTTGAAATATTTAAATTTAGCAGCTGACATTCATATCCCTTTTATAAAAATAAATCAAAACCCAGAGTCTAAATTTGTACCGAAGTCTTACTGGGACGTAGAATTATCGAAGTCGGTAGCTATTCGTAGACAAGCACTGGCTAGCTTTAGACGTAACTCAACACCTCAGAATTTATCTATACTCCAAGAAAAAATTAGAGACACACAGAGGTTAATTCGTCAGACTAAATTACGTAATTGGCAGAGGTTTTGTGATTCGGTAAATAAAAAAACAACCACTAGGGATATGTGGAATAAGATGAGATGGATGAAAGGTTTTAGGTCACATAATACCCACCATATAGACAAAGAAAAAGCAGAAATACTTCTTCGCAGTCTAACGCCAGATTTTGTTTCACCGGAACAGGCTAGTTTCAGTTCTAGTAACATGTTACTAGAGGAAGAGGTCTCGATTCAGGAGCTTGACACATGTATTAAATTAAAGGATATATCTCCTGGATACGATGGCATAGCATATTCAATGTTGAAACACCTTCCGTTTAAGGGCAAATGCATTTTAATCAAACTGTATAATGCTTTTCTTAACAACAGTTTCGTACCATCACAATGGCGAGATATTGGTATTATAGCAATCCCAAAGCCTGGAAGAGACATTAATGATGTATCGTCCTTGCGCCCAATATCACTTATGTCTTGCTTATGCAAAATCTTTCATTCAATTATTAAAGGGAGACTAGAATGGTTTCTGGAAAAAAGTCTTTTCTTCTAATACGTTCGGTTTTAGAAGAAGCCGATCCTGCTTAGATAGTCTTAGTAGTTTGGTATCAAGGATACAAATAGGGTTTTCAGAGAATCAGTCCACGATAGGATGTTTCTTAGATTTAGACAATGCGTATAATAATGTTGACATAAATGCATTACTGTACACTTTAGATCAACTTAATATAGGGAAAAAAATTGTTAATATCTTAGTAGTTTCCCTAATGAACGACATCTCAAAATCTATGCGGATAACGTGTTTATCAGTAGATTTACGGGGCAAGGGCTAGCCCAAGGAGATCCATTATCTCCTCTTTTGTTTAATATAGCTACTCTTAATGTATGTAAAAGCGTCAAGAATGTTTATATCTCTCAATATGCGGATGATTTTGTTATATATAAAAATTGCGACAGTATTAGTAACGGAGTTATTGATATACAGTTAGCTCTGAATAACCTTACTAGTTTATTTTTTACGTTAGGCCTAGAAATATCTTCATCGAAAAGTAAAGTATGGATATATGGTAAAGCATAGTAAGGGTTATGGTTAGATCGATCTCTTCGATGGAACAAGCACATAAATGAAATAAAAGAGAAAGCCCTTAAGTTTGTAAATATTTTGAAAGTTTTAATAGGACCAGGTTGGGGAGTACACCCAGTTCAGCTACGTCGCTTATATATAGCTATTATACGTAGTAGATTGGATTATACCAGCTTTTTATTTGATAATAGCCATAAAACACATTTAATAAAACTAGATGTAATACAAAATCAGTGTATGCGGTTAATTGGTGGGTTTGTCAAGAGCACTCCTATCCATGTAATGGAATCGGAACTGCTTTTACAGCCATTATTTATTCGGAGAAGATATTTAGCTGGTAAATTTTGGTTAAAGTGTAGGTCTATTGATGAAAATATTGTGACAAAATTATTATGTATCCTTGATGAACTTAAAGAAAGCTTTTATTGGCGACCTAGAAAAACCCCACTGCTAGTTACAATCTATAGATTATTTAAAGAAACTCGTATGTTTTCAAGTCCTCACTTAGAAATGTTTTCACTCAATTCGTGGATTAGCAAGTTGGATTTGTCCGATTCAATAATCCCTCAAATAGAATTTGTAAATGCACCTAAACATAAATACAATCCCCATTATCTACGAATTTTATGTCATAAATATTTAGCTGAAAACTTTACAAATTATTATAAAGTATATACTGATGGCTCTAAGGATAAAGAAGGAAAGGGTGCTGCATTTTTAGACATTCAAACCAAAGAATATGTTGAGCTCTGCTTAGGTAAGGAAATTTCAGTTATGCATGCGGAACTCATTGCAATTGCAGAAGCCTTATCTTATGTCAAGTCACTTATAAGTATGATAAATTGTTGATATTAACAGATTCTCGCAGTGCCCTTCAACATTGAAAGAAATGTACTTCATTGTCTCGCGGTTTTCCATTGGCTTACGACATATTAAGTAATATTGTAACGTTAAAATCTAACAACAAAAGCATTGTCTTACAATGGGTGCCTTCCCATGTTGGCTTAGAGGGAAATGAGGCAGTAGACGTTCTTGCTAAAGAGGCGATAAGTGATGGGGAGAATTCCGACTGTGTACCTTATTACTCTGAACTCCTATCTAAAGTTCGTGAAAACTACAGAAAAGTGGTCCGAATACTTTGATGAAAGGTCACTGTCAAAAGGTATTTGGTACAAGACGATACAACCGCATCTTTCCCGCTTGCTTTGGTTTGAAGGATGCAATATGGGAAGGCAAGAAATCATTACAGCAATGAGGCTTCGTTTCGGACATGTACAATTAAACAAATTTGCGTTTGTAATGAGAAAAGTAAATTCACCAAATTGTGACAAATGTGGAGTTGTGGAAGATGTTATTCACATTATGATGGAATGTGAACGGAACGAAGCATGTAGAAAGCAATTGGGTTTTGACAAAAATAGTGTTGGACTATATAATAGTGTTCCGAGCTTGAGGTTCGTGACAATAAAAATTGCCGATAAAATTACCTAAATTAACACTTTAATTTACTTTACACAATTAAAGTTAAAACACTAATAATTTAAACACACTAATTCACTTAATTCCACTCCGAAGCTTCGCTTGTTTCGCCCAAATCAACACTGCCTCGATCGCATCTTGCAGCGCCTATATATTTGAATTAGCAAAGAAATATCCAGAATGTTCAAGTAAACACGCGGAAGGTACCGAGCGTTCGAGTTTCGACTAGGCGCTGTCAGTTGAGCGATTTGTGATGTCATTTTCTCAATGCTCCCCTCGCTCTCGTTCCTGACACTAGATGGCGCTAGTTGACTTATTCATGCAACACTGCCCCCTCCTAAGACATGCTCGTCCCGAGCATTATCGGTCCCATAATAACGCGCCAAGCGATCCACATGGACGATCTTAGGAGTCCCTCTTGCGCCTTTCTGTATCCGGTAGGTCACATCGTTGATCCTGGTTACAATCCGGTACGGGCCGTCCCATTTAGCTTGAAGCTTAGGAGATTTCCCTTTGCTGCGGACTGGATTGTGCAACCACACAAGTGAACCTTCGTCGAAACCTTTGTTGTTCATTTTGCGGTCATACCGGGTTTTCATCTTTTCAGACATTTGCTGGCCCGATTGTTTGACGTGCTCATAAACGTCATTCATTTTTTTCCGCAAGTCATTTGCATAATCGGTTATACTGCGTGGAGCATCGGGTGGTATCCCGGTGATCAGGTCTGCAGGCAGCCGTAATTCTCTTCCAAAGTTTGCGAAAGCTGGTGTCACTGCTGTACTTTCGTGAACAGAACTTCGATATGACAACAAAAACGGTTGTATGTGCTTGTCCCAATCTCGTTGCCGATTGTCTACAACTTTTGCTAGGTACCTCTCCAATGTCTGATTAAATCGTTCCACCATTCCATCAGATTGCGGGTGATAAGAAGTCGTTCTTGTTTTATGAGTACCCATAACTCGGCAAGTTTCCTGGAATATTTGAGACTCAAAATTCCTTCCTTGATCGCTGTGAATCTCTAAAGGTACTCCAAAACGACAGAAGACTTCATGAACTAGTTTATCTGCAACTGTTGAAGCTTCTTGATTTGGAATGGCGAAGACTTCTGGCCACTTAGTGAAGTAATCCATCACAACCATGAAATACTTGTTACCGCTTTCACTCTCCGGAAACGGCCCCGCCACGTCAATGGCTATTCTCTCCCATGGTGCACCAACATTGTACAACTTCAATGCACCTCTACTACGAGTCTGAGGTCCCTTTACAGCCGCACAACTTGTACATTTGCGACACCAGTCCTCGACATCGTTTCGACAGTGGACCCAGTAAAACCGTTCTCGGATCTTCAGTAGAGTTCGTTTAACTCCCAGATGGCCTCCTGAACAATCATTATGGTACAGCTGTAGAACATCCGGTACTTTAACTTTAGGGACAACCATTTGCAAATGACAGCTGTCTCCCCGAACGTTTTCCCATTTACGACACAGAACTCCATCCTGAAGCAGCAAGCTGTCCCACTGGGCCCAATAGCTTTTAGTGGTCGAACTCATCGCTGAGACGTCACTCCACTTGGGCTTGGGAGCACTGGCCTTTATCCATTCCAGAATCGGCTTGATGTCCGGATCTTCCTGCTGTGCATGTAGTAAGCTGTCCTTCCACTCGTTGCTGAGGTGGTCTGCCCTGAGCATCCTCACGGATACCACTTCCTTACTCTCTTGCCTAGTACAATGTTTGCAATCTTCAGGACAAGGTCTTCTTGACAATGCATCTGCGTTGCCATGAGATTTCCCGCTGCGATGTTCGATCTCAAAGTCGTATTCCTGCAGTAGTTCAATCCACCTCGCAACTTGTCCTTCTGGGTTTTTAAACTGCAATAGCCATTTTAGTGCAGCATGGTCAGTTCGTAAGTGAAATTTTCGTCCCAGAAGATATTTGCTAAAATGTTGCAACGACTTTACCACAGCTAGCAATTCGCGTCTTGTGACACAGTAGTTCCTTTCCGGTTTTGACAACGACTTGCTGAAGTACGCTATCACGACCTCTTGGTCACCATTCCGTTGAGACAACACACCGCCGAGTCCTATATCACTTGCGTCTGTGTCAACTATAAATTTTTTGCTTGCATCAGGGTATCCCAAAATAGGTGTTTTGCACAGACGGTCCTTGAGCTCCTGGAATGCGATATTGCAACTTTCATCCCAGCAGAAATGTCGCTTCTCCTCGGTTAGCTTGTGCAGAGGTTTGGCTATATCTGCAAAGTTCTTCACGAATCGCCGGTAATAGGAGCACAAACCCAAAAATGCTCTAACCTGCGTCTTGTCTTTTGGAACCGGCCAATCCTTGACAGCGGCGATTTTCTCTGGATCTGTGCGGATACCTTCTTCCGATACTACAAACCCCAAAAAGTTAACTTGCCGTTGAAATAGTGAACATTTCTTCGGGCTCAACTTGAGGTTGGCACTCTGAATCTTCATGAGCACGCGTTCCAGGTTTTGAAGGTGTTCCTCAAACGTACGGCCCACGATGATGATGTCATCCAAGTAGACCAGACAGGCATCGCCAATTAGCCCGGTAAGTACAAGTTCCATCAGCCTTTCAAACGTTGCTGGAGCATTGCACAACCCAAACGGCATTACTTTGAATTGCCACAGACCCTTTCCCGTCGAGAACGCAGTTTTCTCCTTGTCCTTAGGGTCAATTTCAACTTGCCAGTAGCCACTTTTTAGATCCAGCGTGCTAAACCATTTTACTCCTGTAAGCATGTCCAGCGTGTCATCAATTCTTGGCAAGGGATAGCTGTCCTTCTTTGTAACGTCGTTCAGACGGCGGTAATCAACACAGAACCGCATGCTGCCATCCTTCTTTTTCACCAGCACCACTGGTGAACACCATGGACTAGAGGAAGGTTCAATAACACCATCCTTCACCATTCCTTCAATCATGGTTTCCACTTCCTTTTCACGTGCTACCGGCAATCTTCTTACCCGCTGACGGATAGGCAATTCCTCTCCTGTGTTTATTTTGTGTTGAACTAGGCCAGTCTTTCCTATGTCAGCATCATTTGATGAGAATACATCGGCGTACTTGAGTAACAACTTCTTCGCCTTGACCAATTCGTTCGGGGACAGGACACTGCGACAGTCTTCCAAAAGTGTGGTCACTCTCGTTTCTGAATCCTTGCTGGGGGTCCCACTCGATATATATTGGCACTGACGTAACCAATCCACTTCCTCACAAGTACCAACCAGTGTGCCTTTTTCTATAATCTGTTTCCGGTCGCAAAGGTTCAGCACACGTACTCCTGAGATGTCAGTGGTCCTGACCAAGGTTCGAGCTACTTTCCATGGAAGGTCATTGTTTACCCTTTCCACAAGTACACAACGGTGAGCTTGCCCAGCGTTTCGAGGTAGACTAACCGGAACAATCGTTTCCGATCTCGGCGGAAGAACAATCTTCTTGATGCTGTACACGTTCCCTGGTAACGCACCTTCCATAAAAAGTTCCTCCTGTCCACATTTCAAAACACCTTGCTTAACGTCGATCTCACAACAATTATTCCTCATAAAGTCTAGGCCTAAGATGCAGTCGTCCATTATATCAGCCACGATGACATTATGCAGGTAGATCACGTTGCCTAGCTTCAACTCCATCTCCTTCTCTCCACGGACGGGTATACGCTGACCGGTTGCTGTTACCAAATTAATGCGTTCTCGGTTGTATGCGGAGTCCCCAAGGAACTGACTTATAAGTTGGGAACTAACAACCGTACGAGAGGCTCCAGTGTCTATGGTCAGCTTACACGGCATTCCGTTGATCTCGCCCTTTATGATTAGGCTGTTCCCATCATGGGTTTGTGAGATCGAGATCCTTGGGGCTCTTTTAACATCAGCCAGCACCCGCCCCGCAGTTCTGGCTTTTACTCGTTTCCCTGCTGCTGCTGGGCGGCGCTGTTGGCCGCACTACCCTCCTGAGATCGTTCAATTTCCCTTTCTAGGGTTCGCTTAGGGCAGCTGGATCGAAGATGGCCCCTTTTCCCCACAGCCATAGCACCTTGGGCTGTATCCTTTGTTGCGGTCGCGAACTGTAGCTGCTGCAACCTCCCTGACGCGATGGGAACGATGATCCTGTCGCACGGCTTCCACTTCCAGTGCATGGGCCAAGGCGTCCTTAAGCGTCTCGTGGTGCCCGAGCCTCACAGCAGCTCTGACTTCCAGGTCGCGGATGCCGTCGATGAATGTCTGCACCAGGTTCCCTTCAATGAGCGCAGGTACAGACCGGTATGCTTTTCGCACCAGCTTCTCCACTTCTAGAGCCCACTGCTGCAGGTTTTCGTTGATGCGCTGCACACGATCTTTAAGCTGCGCACGAAA